TTTTTGTCTACTTATTTTTTTTTTTTAAATAAATAATTAATTCAGGCATTTTCACTCAAAGACAAAAAAATTAGACCAATCTCTAACCTTAACTCTACTCTAACATGAACTTTACTCTACTTCAGAGTAGAGTTAAACATTTTTTTCGAGCCCTTATCTCGACATTTTGCTTTACATCAAATATATTATTATTTATTCATTTTCTTATTTCAAATAAATTGGTATCACTACAAGAAAATGATGAAATTCCAACAGAAATATATTTCAATAGAATTATTCCAACGGCAATTCCAAGGATACTTCAATACTATTATTTCCATTTGAAATTTTTTAATGGATTCCAAAGGAAATTCCAACAAAATTATTCCGTTGGAATGAGTTTTCCATTGAAATTTCCGTTGGATATTGACAATTCCACCGGTAAATTTTCCAGCAGGGGTAGAAATAAAAATTCCAACGGAAATTGCATATTTCAATGCAACATCCTACGATAAAAAACCGTTGGAATAATCAAATTCCATCTAAAGTTCCAATAAAAAACACATTCCAATGGAATATTTACGCTGGAATTTCCGTTGGAATCATTGCAACGGAAGCTATACCATTGGAATATCTGTTGGAATTTCCATTATAATATATTACCATAGGATTTTTCCGTTGGAATATACCAATTTTTTTGTAGTGTATATATATGTATATTTAATCTTATATAAATGTTTGGGTATTTTATTTATTTTTATTTCAAATGAATTAATATATATATATATATAATACATCAATAAATAAAAAAACATAAAATTATTTAGCATAAAAATTATATTACATACATTTATTTAGCATAAAAAGACATTTTTTAATACACATTATATAAAAATTTATCATTAATATTACATTAAAATACATAAAAAAAAAATTAAAAAAATGTGGCGCATTGCTACAGTGTGCGCTAGAAGTGCCGCAACACTGTTCATTTATCTGCAATGACGTTAAATTGTAGTGTGGGACTGGAGCGGAAATTTTGCGCTATTTTAAAGGAATACTCAACGATAGAGTTGCTCTTAGACAGTACGATCCAACCGTACAATGATATATTATCTGCCTTTTGGCCTGAGTTAATTATCACAGTTGTGTTTTTAAGCTTGTACTCAACGCTTTGTACTAATATGTTACACTTATATAAACTCATGAACAATTCCAAATGCAATTCGAGGCTGATTTTTCATTTCTTTAATCGCGAGTGTACTAATATGTTTCATTTCTTTAATCTGCCTTTTATTTGGTTTGTTTTTAACTATAGTTAGTTTTGAAAAAAAGTGGTATAATTAGTTGTTAGTGGATATATTAAAATAATATTTAAATTAAAATAATTAAAGTTGATTTGATGTAAAAGTAAAAAAAAAATGATTGGAAGTGATGGTTAGTTAAAATTATGTGAGTGGATGAATAGTGAATTAAAGTTGATGTGATGTGTAGAAATAATTGGTGGATATTATTTAATTATATTAATAATATAGGAGATAATGAAATTGAGTTAAAGTTGAGTTAAATTTGAGTTTTGATTGGTTTTTTACTGTTCAAACCATAAACAATCACCCCTTTAGTTAGCCCATTATAAATTAAACCAATAGATAAGGCTAACATCCCACATTTCTAGCTCGCATTTTCGAGTTGCTGCTTATTATTATTATTATTATTATTATTATTATTATTATTATTATTATTATTATTATTATTATTATTATTATTATATAGGCTTTCATGAATTAAAATGAGGAAATTGCACCCCTTACATTCCCCTTCAAAATTTATTACACTTTTCCACTCCAAATATATTTATTTTTATTTTTAACTAAAGAAGATAAAAAAATTTCAACTATACCTAAAATCTCACTTAACATGTATTAACACGTTTTTATTGTAAAGAGAAGAAACCGCCCACCTTCTCTCATTCTTCTACATAAACCGCCCCAAACTTTTTTCCCCTTTTTAAGAATCAATGTCAAAAACCAAACTCCCTCATCCTAATCGAAAAAATTCGGCTGATGTTGGCGACGATTCGGTTGTTCGTGGCAGGGCTGCTGTTCTCGAATCGAAGAAATCCGGCGGGAGGAGGGTGCTATTGACGGTGAGGTGGTCTCCGTCTTCTCGAATCGAATTCCCAGGGTCATCTGATCGTCGGTTGTTCGTGGTCGGGCTGCTATTCTCGCGACTCACAGGTCTGGTGGATGGACGTTTGCAGGGAAATCGGTAGGGGTCCTTGCGTTCGATGATGATCGATTGGGCTCGGCTACTACGGACGTGTGATGGTGAGGCGTTGCTGCTCATGCCTCATGTGGTAGAGCAATTTCTTGGCGGCTGATGACAGATCTTGCATCAAAAATCTTTGTCTGCTTTGGGTTTAAATGCCTCTGCTGAAAAGCCAATATAAGATTTATGTAATATGTTGGTATATGTTGGGTATATCCGAGTATATTCGAAGTGACTTTTC